TTATACTAACCGGCGACACATTTCTTGTGTTGTTGTAGGTCCAACTAAATTTCACTGAGTCTGCGGGATCCGCATCCACTTCACATTTTACCTGTACTGAGTGTATATTGAGTGCACCAAGTGATGTTTGCTCGGTACCCGGTCGGCATCGGGGCGAATCTGCAATTGAAGAGGAGAAGAAGGCGGTTTATGTAAATGTACAATATTTATGTAAATATATACATATATATATATACGTATTTTGTTTGTTTTTTGCTTTAGCTGCAATACGAAGAAAGTAAAACACGCAGACGTAGTGAAGCGACAGGCAGTTAAAGATGCAGTAGCGGAATATGGTTGCATTCGTTACACTGACATTGCGGTTGCAGCATTGCGGTTGATGGCGACTTGCTTGCAATAAATACATCCGCATATATGTATGTGTATGTGCATGTATAGATATAACCAAGTTTTGTTTGGTTTCCTTCAAGTGCCTCAAGGCGAGTAATTAACATGGTTCAGTTCGGTGTTGTGGTTATTTTCTGTGTGGGTATGCGTGTTTAGCTAGGTATGTACATATATGTGCATATGAATGTGTGTAATTGCTATCGAGTGAGATGAGCCAAGAATCGTTTACTTTCATATGACTCTGTCAAATGTACATATTGAAGCATCATACGCAGATATACATGTAAATATCGTTTTTCATCCATGGTCTACATTAGCGTAGACCGAAAATCCTCTCATATAAAAAAAATATATATATATGTGACCTGGTCTACGAAAAGGGAGCTTACGTGCGAAAACTAGTTTTCTGTGAAAAAGCTGTTAAAAGTAAGCAACTCGTTTCGTCAGTTTCTCATTATCTCGTTNACACTTCTAAGCAAGTTAGGATTTTCTGCTTTTCACCACGTGAAAAAGCATCTCATCTTCCATTCGAATCAACCAAAAAGTGAAAATTGATTTTTCCGATGCAAAAAGAATTATCGAAATCGGTTGACGTGGTCCAAAGTTATGCTGTAACATACAAAAAAAATAAATTAAAAATAAAATAAAAATATTCCGACGAACTGATAACCTCCTCCTTTTTGGGAAGTCGGTTAAAAATATGGTTCATAACGCTCTAAAAACAATCTGTGAAAGATGACAATTTTTGTTCAATATCTTATGCTCGCCTAAGTCCACCAATGTTTCAGTGCTAAAAAATTTTCTTAGCTTATTTTGATTCTCTACAAAAAAAGTCCATATACCAAATTTTGTAGAACTAATACTCTCGAAAATACTTGCAATTTTAGTAAAAAATTGTTATCAATTAATTTTTATTTTTTGAGCACATTGAACTTTGATGGACTTGGACGAGCTTAAGATATTTTTGCTATTACCAAACAATATTCTAAAATAGCGGATTTTCGGCCCACACTAATATGCATATTTAAATGTTCGCATCTCGCAAGTCACTGCATGAAGCGTGTATTTAGGGTACGAATTTGGGGCTTAATGCTCTTAAATTTAAAGAAAAATACTGGTTGAAAAGACCTACCTAGAATTTGATTAAAAGTGCTTAAAAAAGGATCAGTCCAGTGTCTTTGTGTTGAATGACCAGTATATTCTATCAGTTATTATTTGACCAGCAATATATTAGGTCAGTCAATGGTCGAAGAGGTCACTCCTTCCTCTTTTTAATTCGTTTCATACTGCGGAAATTTGTATTACTCTTATTATTAGCTTAAGTCCCTGTATTATTTAGTATTCGTTTTCGTATTCGAATTTGCTATCATATGTTATAATGATAATGGTAATAGTAATGACAATGGTAATAGTGATGGTAGTGGTAATGGTGATGATAACGGTAATGGTAACGGTAGTGGGAACTGTAATTGTTTTGTCTTAGCATTGGTGATGGTAGATAATAGTAAATAATGGCAATGGCAAGATTAATGGTTTTGGAAATGGTAATGGTAATAGTAATGGTATGGGTAACAAAAGTGTTGAGAGCAGTTTGAACGGGAACAAAATCAGAACAACAAGTGCGGGAACGTGTTCGTTAAGAAAGAAATACCGAAACCTTCGTGAACGTTTTCAATGAGAATGAAAGTACCCATAACGTTTTCAAGGAGGATCAAATAAGAACAAAAGTCTGGGGAACGTTTAGCTAGAGAAAAAAAAGAGAACAAAAGTTTTGAGAACTTAACGTTAGTAATGAGGGAGATGTCTGCGTGTTGGGATGAGAAATCTTTGCAGTGAGAACCATGACTGTCCATTTATGGAACATTTTTTCACTTTCTGTACTTTCTTATGTTCTCACTTTCGTTCTNTGTAATGAGGGAGATGTCTGCGTGTTGGGATGAGAAATCTTTGCAGTGAGAACCATGACAATTAATTCGCGATCGCTTATTATTAGGGTGAACTGTCCATTTATGGAACATTTTTTCACTTTCTGTACTTTCTTATGTTCTCACTTTCGTTCTTGTGAAAACAATCACGAATGTTTTGTTCTCGTTTAGGTTTAGGTTTTAAGCGTTCTTGGTAACAAAATGACGAGAACGACATTTTGTTTCGATCATACCTTTTTCTCTCGGGCCCTGATATGAACATGACATCCAAATAAAGGCGTAAAGGCATGTTTACACTATCGTATTTTATGGCTCATTCGAAATTTATGTCACGCTGAAATCAGGTAATTTGGCGTGTGAATAAATCAATTAGGTAATGAGGTAACTTATGATAAATTAAGAACCAAGTGAAGGAAAATGCGGCACATTAGGGCGATCCAAACGTACGTTCGGAGATTTTCTTTTAAATGGAAAAAAAATTACCCGTATTAAAAAAAATTATATTTATTATTTATGATTAAAATTAAATTTAGTTTTCCATGTATTTTATTTGGGGAAAACACTTTTTCGTAGAAATGGTGTGGAATTCTTGGAAATCCATATCTTTCCATCGGAAAACTCGTGCTTCTCTTTAGGAGACTTGCAATAACCATACTCAATTGTCTTTGTAAGCATTTTTTAATAATAACTATTTTTTAAAGATCCCCCAAAAACCGCAAAAAATGTAATGGGGAACCCACAAGAAATCTTTGAGGCAGTTTTTATTTTTTCCACTTAGAAAATTCACATGGGATGAGAGCTTAACTTGTTAACCTCTTTTTACCACCCTAATGTACATATGTATGGATATTTAAAGATATGATGTTCATTTCATCATCACCCTACCAAAAACAGTTTACCTGATACTCCAATAATATAAGTTTTGTTTCAAACCTCAAAGTATCTCATTTCCGAATTAGGTTTTCTGCTTTACTGCTTTTAATTTGTTTTCTTAATTTCTAAAATGGCCGACGTTTTTACCGCTGGTAAGGACAATCTTATAAAAACCAAAAACTTTTTTTTTACCATTAAAAACAAATGTATTTATATGTATATGTATTTCCTTTTACTTAATTCTCATTAGAAATTCTGCAAAACTATGTCACTTAAACCTGGGAGAGAATTCTCAGTTTTGTTGATAACCCTTAAAAAATACATATATTCACTCTCTACACACTTGATAAATGCATTTGTGTGATATGTATGTATGTACATATGTAACTCTTATGCCACGTTACAGTTATTAAGTGCACTATTATGTATACACTTACGTTGAACTACGGAAATGTGTGCGTACATGTATATACATACATACATATAGTTAGCACTGCTCGTTGCTAAGCTACTGCGAATAGATTTGTATGTATGTATATTAAAGTGAATTATATTTTGTAACGAAATTCTAAATGTATGCCCACTAACATTTTTAATTTTTGGGTAACATATTATAAGAGTTAAGACTGATAGCTCGCGCCTCAATACACAATAGGGCTAGGAATTTTATATAGCTTTGCGTTCGACTTAAACCAGATAGCGTCAGTAATACCTATGATTATCCAAGTGACCAATAGATCACGGTTAGATGCGGATACCTGCAGAACAGCTAGACTACTACGCTCGCAAATTGATAAGAAAAAAAACAGAACAACCGCTCAGCCACCCAAAAGAGAGGGCATTTCGAAGGTCATGGCCTGTGTAAACGGTAATTGGCTATTTGGTAGGTTGGCTATCTGGTAGACATCGCTCGCTGTCGTTATTGATGAGTGGTTTTAGAAGGTTGTGCTCTGGTGAAATGCTCGGCCCTGTCGCTGCAGCAGCAATCTCAACAGATGCTGTTTTCATGGTGCTAGATGTTTGAGCAACGGTTTTTCGCACAGAATAAAACAACGTGGCATATAGATTTGGCAAAAAAAATGTAGCGCACCTTAATGTGAATACATACATACACATATGTTTGTATGTAATCACACATGGAAAAGTAATTTGGAGCGAAACACACAAATATGTAAAAGTATCTTTTGCGGAAGTCATTTACCACCACTTAGCTGCAGGGCAAATGCATTTGTGAGTATCTATGATCCCTTTTTAGGTTTCATATGTAAAGAAGTTGCAGAAAACAGTTGAGTTGTTTTGTGAAAATTAGAGAGATACGACATTTTAAATATGTATACACATGCTTACGAGCATACCACTATATGGAAATATACAAACATATTTGTTGAATGTTAAACACTTAATGGAATGCCTTCATAATTTATTTGGAAAATTATTTTATGAACGTATACGCATAACTTGGTAACCAGTGGAATTGTGCAGAAATTTTCAGTAACTATTTAGGGAATTTAGATACGTACCTAAAGGTGAAAAGGTGCCAAGTCCATTTATTATTTAAATATAGGGTTTGATGCAGAATGACAGATAAAGCGAAACTACATCGATTTTTGGTCTCTCCTAAACAATTAAAAAAATGGACTTTTCACCTACACTTTTGTATATAATAAATATGTCAAAACTTAATCTATTCTTTTCTTGAAATTGGCTTCTGATCTACAGAGACTGTGCTTTAAAAAGTAGTAACAATAGTAATAGCTTCTACTATACACCCTACCCTATATCTTCTTTGAAAAAATTATCTATTATAGCGACACAAATGTTCGATAAATTAGAGGATCGAAGAGGGACTCATTGAAACCCTTCTTCGAAAGCGTGGAAGGGTGTTATGAATCAGCCAGGTTTAGGCTAATTCTCGTGAAGAATCTCGCATCTCCATGTATGTTGCAGTAAAATAACAGGTATAACAACTGTCTA